TCTAAACACATATATAGCGTTAAAGGGAGAAAAGGAGAGGGAGAGGAGAGGGAGAGGAGAGAGAGATGGCCTTCGGATGCACATTCGTTTTTACATTAATCTCTTCTCCAAACTCACAAGACTTGTTTTTATGAATCCTTCCAACAACAATGTCTTGGCTGCGAGGCACAGCATTAGCTCCGGCGAACCTCCAGCTCTCTGCCAGGTTCCAATCGACGTGCTATAATGTCGTGAAGGCGGTGGTAAATCAGAACTCAGTATTTGGTTGCCTTGGTAAAAGGGCTTTAAATTTTAATCCAAAGATTTTACTGCTATGCGGGCATTTCTGTAAATTGACAGTTAATCATGCTGGTAAGAAAAACTAGTCTAATTCATCGGGTCATTGCCAAACACGCCCCGGGGATTATTTATATCCCAGTCAGAAGGGATAAATTGGGTCTTTAACTACAGGCTGATGATTTCAACCCAATGAAAATGAATCATGTCCCGGATTAACAATATAATATATTAGAACCTTCAAAGAGAAGAAAGAAAAACAATTTTTGTGACAAATTTGACTAGGTGATTCAATAAATAAATATTGTTCTGAGAATGTTTTTAATACTACTTCATTTTTCATATGAATTAGAAAAATAAATAATATCAAGAGAAATATTCTAGAAGGAGTGTGACTATATTTAACCCCCCCATTCTTTAATATCAAAAAAAAAAAAACCCCTTTCTTTGAACAAGTTATACACATTTTGAACATCCAACACAGAATTCATCACAAAATTTTATTTCTTTTGTCGTAACCCATCAAAATGTATCTCATATTGTTTGTTTGTCTTTATGTCATAATGGATTACAAAAAAAATTGTTTTATTTGTTGAGTATATATATATATATATATATATATATATTGAATAGATTTCTCTTAAAAAATCAATAACACCTTTAAATCCATCTATAAATCTTCAGATCTTTTATAGAAGTCCCTGTTAACTCATTATTATTCAAAATTTAAAAAAAACATATTGTTTTATTACATTGTCCACCTAAAATTCTTGTGGCGAGGGATTTAATGATGGTAGAGAGTTGGGAAAAAAATAAATTGAAGGTTAATTGAGGGTATTGCTGTGAATATAGCGTGATATTTTAGTACAATAATATTATACTTATCATGTTTTTTACTAAATTATCAATGAAAATTAATGAAACTTATTTGTTTAATGATAAATACTGTATCACATAGAAAACTTGGCCAACATAGTATTTTTTATTTTAGTATGGGACAAATTGCATCTTGTATTTTAAAAGATTGAAGAATTTTTATTTATACCCTTAAAAATTGGTCTTTTCACAATTGTAACGTGATTCTTTAATTAATTTTCAGTACTCATTCTGTCAATGTCAATAAAATGTGATTTTTGACAGAATAAACAATAAAAGTTAACAAAAAGATTTATTTGCAACTGAGGGTATAGTGTGAGAATTTTAATCTTTAGAAGTATAAAATATAAATTATTAAATATTTTAGGGTATAAAGTGCAATTTCTCCTTTGATATTTTAAAGATTCTATTACCTCTTTTTATGTTTGCACTCTGTTTATAAAGTTAGGGAGGCTAATACATAAGTATAAACTTAAGTAGATTATCTATAATTAGCATTAAGTTTAAGGGGATTTTCGGTAATTTCCCCCAAAAAAACCTCCTACAAAATCGTTAAAAAGTCAATCCCGGAAAGTGAGGAAGAGAGACGTGAAATCAGAGGAAAGATTGGGTGGGGCCAGAATCACTACCTTTGCAGCCCAATCTCTCTCTCTCTCTCTCTCTCTCTCTGGCAGATGCAGAGGTGTGTAACGATTAGGGAATTGAACAGTAGCTTCAAAGCCCTTAACGGCCTCAAATCCAACCACCATTCCTTCCTCTCCTTCTTTGTGGGATAGATGTGGGTTTATAGGTTTGGCAAAAGAATTGGACTAGTTTATTAGAAAAAGGAATTTGATTAGTTTTTTCATTTTTGGGTAATTAGGAATTTCATTAGTTACATTAACGATTTTCTCGTACGACTATTAGGAGTTGAATTTGATTTCTCATCTTTTGAAGCTTTGCGCCATTTGGAGGATCCCTTTTCAGCGGTACTATCTCTCTCTCTCTCACTGAAACCCATTATCTCATCACTTTTTGTTCAGTTCTATGTTGGCCTTTTGAGTTGGGTATAGTTTTGGCCCCCTTTTTTATCCTTAAATTTATTCTTTCATCCATCACTTTGTGTTCGTCTAAAGTGCACTTATCTTATTTAAAAGGCGGTACAAAAAGTAAACTTTGTGATGTGACTTTGGGACCCTTCTTTTGATGTTACTGTTAAATTGTTTGGTTTATAGCTAAACAAATGAATTTTGCTTTTGCTTTTCTTTATCGTAGTTGCTGCTCAAACAAATGTGGTAGAATTTCCCTTTTAACAGCTCTAGTTTGTGACAGTTCTAAGTTGTGTTCTAATAAAAGGTTACTTATGATACTCAAACATTTCTGCAAATTTGTTTCCAACTGAAAATCATGCTGACTGACCCTTGGGTTGCTATACCTTTTTTATGTTTATTTTATCTGTTGCTAACCTCATTCAGCTGTGGCCTTGTTGGGAGGGCTTTTCATGTGCACCCGAGTCAGGAGCTGTGTTTGTTGTGCAAGCAAACCATCGCTTCTCAATTGTTTTGTATTCCCTTTGTTTGTTTAGGCCATAAAAATCATTTCTTCGAATTCAATAATGCAATATAATAGTCTGTGACTCTGTGGGACTCATCCAAATTAATATTAGGTGGCAATTGGCATTACATTGTTGTGTGGCTGTGTGCACTTGGTTCTATGAAAGAAGTTATGTATGGTATGAAAGTGAACTTTGCTGCTTTAATGTTTACAAATTATATAGACTAGCAATGCTTATTTTGCCTGGCAAGTGAGAAATCAAAGATCAATTGACTGTGAAAACATTTGCAAAGTATTTTTCTTTATCTTCCTTCATTATTTAGACTACATGAATTTTGTATATAGGTAGATATACATGAAGCATTTACAAAGGGTCTGAACTTTGAAATAATCTTGAGTGTGCTAATAACTAATTTTATGAAGAATTCAACTGTATGCACAGCTGTCTCAATTAGCAATGATATTTTATTTGTATTTGCTTTTGGCTAACATATGTTAATACATGACAGCTTCGGATATAGCCATTATCTGTAATATAATAAAACATTCCAATGGCATGACTTGTTACAAATATATTTTGACAGTTTTCATAAGCAGAGTAGTTGACAATAACCTACAATAACTTGCAAGTAATAAATTTATCATGATTGTTAGTATGTATTTTCTTCGGAAGTGACAACATATGTCCCGTTACTATTGCTTCTAAATTTATTTTCTCTTTGTCTCTCTCTGTAAAGTGCATTTATCTATTTGGAAAGGCAGTAAAAAAGTACTCTGTTATGCGACTTTGGGACCCTTGATTTGATGTTTCTATTAAGTTGTTTAATTTATAGCTCTCAACGTGCATGGACTTGAATTAAAGACATGTTGGGTGGTGTTTTGTACTGTTTGGCTTTTTCCTGTTGCTCAGTTAGTGGAGGACCCATCTTGAACTCTTAAAACAAATGCAAGTAACGCGATGGAATTGACCATTTTACAGTTTTGATTTCTGTCTCATAAAAGGGTTATTTGTGATCGTTTGGTACCGATTCAAAATCATGCTGATAGACCCTTGAGTTGCCACATTTTTTTGAAGCCTCATAATTCTAGTCATGATCCACGAACTCAACATGAACTCGGTACAAAATTTGCCGGTTTGAGCTTAATCTTAGTGGGTTTGGCTTGTTATACTTGTCAAATAATAGATCGACGCTAATGCACCTAAACATGACATGAATCTGCTAAACACAACACAAACCCGACTGACTATACACAAGTCTAAATGGATTGTATATGGGTTAAGGAATTTGACACAATTTAGACACGACATGAACCTGGCAAGACACGACCCTTGACTGACCTAGCCTTTAGTTTTTTTTTTTCCTATTGAGATACCCAGCTGAACTCATTCAGTTGTTGGGATGGCCTTTCATGTGCACCCGAGTCACGATCTGTGTTTGTTGTGCCAGCAAACAAGCAATTCTCTTTGTTTTTTGTTTTGTTTGATTGATTCATAAGGTGATTGCTGCAAATTCAATAATCCAATATACGTTGTTTTTACAATTTTTGTGGGACAAATCCCAATTAATAATAGTTGGCATTACATAGGCATGTGCACTTGGTTCCATGGTCTAAATCATGCATCGTACAACAGTGAATTTTGCTGCTTCAACATTTAGTTTTTGTAGCTGAATAATTAAACATTTTCAGGCCAGGCTAGCATCTCTCTTTCAAGCATGTGGTGACTGAGAAATCAAAGATTAAATAGTTGTGAGAACATTTGTGTAGCATTCATAGAACAAGGTTTCTCTTTTTCTGTCTTTTTCCTTTTATCTTCCTTCAGTATTTAGACTGCCTGAATTGGATCTACAGATAGATATACATAAAGCATTTAGAAAATGTTCTGAACTTTTGTGTGAGCTTTTGAGTGTGGGTTATATGTAATTCTATAAAGAATTGGACTGTATGCTCAGCTGTCAAAATGAACAATGATATTTGTTTTATATTTTTAATTGCTTTTATCTGTACGTCATTCCGTGAGAAGCTTCAGATGGAACAATATCCATAGTATTATAAAATACATTCTGCATGCGTACTTAATTCAGAATTCATGTCTCTCATAGAAAAACTTGAGCAGATGACGACTTGTTATACAAATATTTTTTTGGCTTTCATAAGCAGGGTAGTTGACTATAGCCTACAATAACTTGCAACTAATTGATTTATCATGCTTACCATTATATCTTCTCCAATCATATAACATCATACTTCCCCTTGCTATGACTTCTAAAATGTTGTGATAGGAATGAAATTTCAGTAGCCCTGGAACAAGGATTATGGATCGTGAGGTTGAAGAATCTGAGTTTAGACAAAGTGGATCTTTTGGTCACGCAAGCAGTGTGGCTTCTTCTTTGAGGAGGCGTTCTTTAAGTTTATCAGATGCTGTCTCCCATCAGGTGGACGGTGATACTGAAAGTGAGTCAGTTTCAGAGGCAGGAGATATTGGGGATCGCGCACTTCACAGCAACAGGTACAGTGGAAGTGGTAGACTTCACTTATCTGCTGATAATGTGGTAGAAAATGGGATTGTCGTTCCCATTCCAGAGGATGCTCTGTTGCAATCGTATGGGGTTCGATCTCGTGATCTCGCTGCATCAATCACTATCGCCCCGGTATCCCCATCAATGTTGGAAAGCACATCTTCTTTGTCCGCTGAAGCTATTGCACACTCTGGAGACAACAACAAAGTGAGTGCTCATGTAACATATCCCCTTTTATAAGACTTCTTGATGGAAATTGGTGGGAAACAGAACTATGGTTGTTAACTTGCATTGCATTTGCATGTCTGTTGATGAGAAATAATACTAGGAATTGTTTCTTCAATGATCAGGTGAGTCACATGCTTCTATATGCAGGATGATACAAAGGAGCTTCTATGGTTAGTGGAGTATATATCATGCCTTATTCATCTTGCCGTGTTTGGTATTCTTGGGGTAATATCCTATTCCTCTTATTTCTTGGAGCTTGACCGTGTAGGCAATAGATAGTTTGCTTTTTAAGTGAAACTTGACATTAAGTTTTCCACTCAGTTGCAATCTTCTGATTATCTTGTGAAACTATTCTGTACTTTAGTTTCATTCGGTGTGATACTTGGTACTTCCCTTCAAGGAATTTAGATGTGAAATCTGGTGCCTGATGGCCGATCAATGTCAGAGCTACTAAACCTTATGCACACTATCTGTCAATATGTTAACAAAGCATTGAATTTTTCAAATAGAACTTTTCATGAGATTTTGAAAATTTCAATACAAATTAAAACTCAGGATAGGTAAACCTGGTGGAAGATGTTGAGTAGTTTTTTGAATTACATATTGCATTTTGTAGCTGATCAAGCAAAAATTGTGGCAAGAACACTTGTAGTTGCTTGAATAACAATGTTATAAAGAAGGGCCATTCACTTCGAGATTGAACCGGTCATGCTAGGAAAACAGAGTAAGGGGTTGTTACTTTCTTTTGGTGAAATCTATATTCAGTATTTAAAGCCCACAAAAATTAGCGTGTAATGAAGGGTTACAAGACTTTATTGAGGATAAGACACACAGAGGCAGAATCAGTTGGAAGAATTGTCTAACCCTCAGCTACAGGCCAAGCAAAATCAGTTGGAAGAGTCATCCAACACTTGGCCAATGCTAACCATTGTCAAATTCAAACTCACAGAATTTGAAGGTTGTAATCTTTGTATCCCACAATCTGATTGCTGAAACATATAACAGAAAGCACTCTAAATAAAATATGATCTCATACATCTAGGAGTAAAGACATTTATTTAACTAAAAAGTGGCATTTAAGGTTGAGTTGCTTACATGCTTGCCAGAAGTTGCTGTTGTGCCAGAAATTGCTGTTGTGGTTTTTTGTTTGTCTTTTCTTCTTTTCAAATCATCAATATGTTTTCCTGGCAGTTTCAGTTTACCTGATACCATACCTGATATGTGTGAACGTATATGCATATCTAAGTTTTTTCTGTATCAAAGGTGTACATAGAAAAGGAAAATGCATTGGGTACAGAATTACCTCAGGTACACTACAAGAGGAGAGAGATTTTTAAGATTTTGATTCCCTCCGACGTGTGTCAGCTATACCCCATTTGCTCAAGTGCTAGACCTTATGGCAAGAGTACTTGAATTTCTTTTGATGCCTATTACTTCTCATATTTCTCCACCTCTCCTATTTCTCTAATTAGTTAGGTGTTCATACCAGTTTTGGCAGAAGCTCTTTTCATTTCTTCCATTTTCTTCCCTTATCTGTCACAACATAGCCTCTTGGTGGTTGGTAACAGACTAACAGAAAACAAATTATGGACATTTGTTAGCTTGCAATGTCTGTCTGGATTCTGGCTCCTGTTTCTGCATGAGTGCAGTATTGATTTTGAACTTTCTTAGCACTCCCCTTTGATCAATTGGGCTTAAATTTGGAATGACCAGTTGGTCATGTAGTTAGTCACATTTATGTGGCTGAATAAGTTAAAGTGCTTCTTCTGTATATTATCATCCCCTGATTTGCCTTGTTTCTGCATATAATATTTCTTGTTCAGTGCCCTTCAAGGTGACATCTGGATGGCTGAACTACTTCTATGTAGAATATTCTTCTTGGTTAGCAACTAAATCCTCTAGAGAGTTTTGTCAAAGGGTAAACAAAACACGAAATTGGAGTAGTTGAGTTACTACCGTAGAGGTCAAACACTCAAAAGAGAAAATTGAAAAATACTCTTTATTGAACTTGGCTCTTGGCCTTGGAATGGAATACAAACATTACAATCTATTTATAGGAAAACTTTACCGTCCAAATCTATTGCAATATCAGACTCCATGTGTGAACACATAATATATAATGATTATTTGATAATGATTGTCAATATTCAAATATTTGACCATGGACTTTTGGGTAGAAATTGTGGGCTGCACATTTGCAATGTGCAAAATGCATTACCCTGCACCGCCCAACAGTGTTCTCATGTTAATTATTTTGTTTTCATTTGATGATGCTAGAGGCAAAGTGACTCTATGTTAGACAGTGACGGGGTGGTTGATATATCTGTATGAATACACAAGAAACTGACTTCTTGATATTTTGCAGGTGTTAACAAGGTACTTACTGCAAAAACTGTTTGGCCCTGGAGTTGTTGGTGCAACAAATGACCAAAGCTATATGTACCTTGATCTTCCTTCTAATATGGTCCCTCTCTCTCGCTCTCTCTATTCTACTCTACTCTACACTCATACACAGGTGGATGCACTTGCTTGCATGTGCTCACGCAAAATAAAAGGGAATGTATTTGTGCACAAATGTTCAGCATTTAGATGCTGTTGTTTGTCTTTGAATTTTTTTTCAAAATGACTCCATTTGCTAGTCATTTTAGAGCGAGGTACCTATTTGTTCAGTCTGCACATGCATTTGTACATTCATGCTTGAGCTTTGGCAACTTTATCCAAGTGGGATGACAATTTGGTGGAGGGATTAACCAATCTTTTAGATCAATATTTCCATATCTGGAAACGTCAAGTATTTATGCTCTTCCATTATTGGTGCATAAGAGAGTGGAATACATTATGTAAGCTAATATTTTAAGATAGATTTACTTGCAGAATCGGCATACTTACATGAACTAGAGTGCTGTAAGTTTATTAAACACGGTAAAAGCTCATGGGCCGGAAAGTATGGATTGTTGGAGGTTGTAGTTTTCCTACCCTATTGTGCTGGTATGGTTGTAGATGAGATGATGTGGGCTTAGCACTCCAGGCACTTGCTTTGCCTTGCCCTCTATAGATTACTAACATGTCTTGTGAAGGCATGACAACTTCAATAATGTCTCTACCTCATTTTCCTGTGTCTTCTATCACTATCTATATTGTGTTTCTTCTGATATTTTATTCCATTGTCCTAATGCTAATATTGTGCATTCTTTACTCCATTGTTTCTCATTCTAATATTGTGCATTCGTTAAGGTTGGTTCATTCTTGATGGGGTGGTGGGGCGTTGTCTTTAAAAGAGACATATCTAAAGTTTCGGATCAGTTAGCCATTGGGTTAACAACTGGTTATTTGGGAAGCCTCACAACATTCAGTGGTTGGAATCAGAAAATGCTAGATCTCAGTGTTGACGGCCACTGGGTTTTTGCCGTGCTCGGCATTCTCATAGGTAGTTACTATTCAAAATTGAACAACATGCATGCCCCATGCTGCCTGTTCATTTCAGTCTTGGAGGGGCTTTCTTACTATCTAGTATTTACAGGTTTGTTCCTTGTTGCGTATTCCATCATTTTTGGGATCGAGACTGCCAAGGGTGTCAAATGGCTTCTCAAGAGGTTAATCAAAAGTTCAAAACATGGCATCTCTAGTTCAAAAAATAACTGGAAAGTGGACACCTGCGAGCGCCACTTGGCAGTTGTGGTGGTGCTGTTATTCATGCTAGGCTTGTTATATGGTGTGAGTGGGACTTTGGAGAGAAGAGAGTTCAACAGTGGCAATAGTGGAGCTCAGCTCTGGTTGGCTTGCATGGTTGCACCTCTTGGTGTCTGGATAAGATGGTTCTTAGCACGACTCAATGGACGTGGCCTAGGAAAAGCGGGCTTGTTGAAATGGGTTCCTTTCGGAACTATGATTGCCAATGTATTAGCTGCTTGCATCATGGCAGCCCTAGCAACAGTGAAGAAAGTGGTAAGGTTTCATTACATGCTTCCACACTACTCTCTTAGTCTGCCACTGTTTCCCTTTCTTTCTCAATATTTTTACAAAAACATGTAAAAGGCCACTCCTGTATAAACCTCTTTTTGGAGCATTTGGGTTGTTTTATGAGCTTGCATGAGTGGAATATTTTTCAATGTGTATAAATTTGAATGATACATGATCATTCTCACTGTCATCGTTAGAGTCTTAACCATATCTTGCACTTAAATCCACACAATTCTTATTTTTTCTTTTCTTTGACATATATTTAACGTTTTTAATCTTGGCAAGCTTTGGTTTTTTTTGATACAGGTGAAAACCAAGACTTGTGATACTGTTGCAACCGGTATACAGTTTGGGCTGTTGGGTTGTTTAAGTACTGTTTCTACATTCATTGCAGAATTTCATGCTATGAGAGAGAGTAGACACCCTTGGAGAGCATACACATATGCTATGCTCACAATTATGATCTCATTTGGTTTCGGTACACTGATATACTCAGTACCTGTTTGGACCAAGGCATATGTTTAGTTTGTTCAGGTTCGTCTTTTAATTCTTCCTTCAACCTGGCCTAATGTAGTTGCTGCAGAATGATTGCACCTTTCAGCATACAGTTGATCTCTCATGCTAATATGATATGGGCTTGGCTGAGTAAGCCTATGTTCTAATCTATCGAAGTCATGCTAGTCTACCCTGGTCAGTTCCTGGTTGAATCTTCCTGCATTAATTGCTGTTGTAGTTGCTGAGAAATTTGGTAACACTCTGATCTTCTTATTTATGAAATATGCCTCTTCGTCTAGAGTACGCTACTTGGATCCAATTCACTGGCACAATTTACTCAACCAATCCACTGTTGCCATTTGATTAGCAATGGGTCTCAATATTGAATGGGATCCAACTGCAGCAGTGGATAGAGTTAGCAAATTATGTTAGTAAATTGAGTAGAAGTCGCGTTGTTGATTGTATTTCTTTTTCCGTGAACAAGAATTTCTTGTTTGCATAAGGAACATGATGAAATTGGCATGGGGGAGCCATATATTGTCCGTTGGGGTCAAGTGATCTAAACAAATCTAAGCCCTTATGATTCCAACTGCTTAAGATTTATTTAAAACTTCTATATTGAAAATATGCTATTTGAATCAATAGATAGCATTTTCAATATATTAATGGATTGAATTGATTTCTTAAATGTATAAGTCAGATATTTTTATTTAGTTTTTATTCTTTTTTCGTTTTTAATAATTTTGGTGTGCTAGATCTAAAACTGATTCATTATTCTTTGACGTTTAGTCATTTGATTTTTGTTTTTCTCTATTTGATTAATGGTATTTAAGGATACATGTTTGAATTTATCTATAAACTTTCTCATTGTAATTTTTGTCTACCAATTTATATAAAACAATTAGCTATTCAGATGAATATATTGAAAGAAATCACAGTCTAAATTGGTATTCACGAATTTACTATAGCATTGAGTAATGCGTTTATTCTAAAAGGAGAAAATGGTCTAAAAGACAATGATATTTTGCCTTTTCACAAAGAATCAGTTTTGATTTTTGCCCGGGTGATCAACGATGGAAGATATATACGTAATTTGGAGACTAATGAAGAGCTAGAGAGAAAAATAAGGACCTTCATATGATTTTTATAAACTTAGAAAAGACATGAGATAGAGTTCTTAGCGATATATTTTGGAAAGTTCTAGAGAATAAAAAAGTTAATGTTCTAAGTATATTGATGTGATTAAGACATGTATGAAAATGTCTTGGCTTTTGATGATACCTTGTCCTCGGCATTGTAATTTGTTTTTTGTTTTCATTCTGTAATGAAATTCTTTTATCTAAAAATAGATTTACATAAAAAATGTGGTGACCGTAGTAAAAACAACGACATGAGAGATTAATGAATTTTCAATCATTGTAGATTTACATCATGGTTCTGCTTTGAGTCCCATGTTTTTTTACGTTGATTATATATGAATTGATCAAACACTTTCATGATGAATTTTCATCGTGTATATTATTTGTGGATGATATTGTATTAGTTAATGAAAATATAAAATGAACTAATAATAAACTAGAAATACAACGAGTAGCTCTAGAATCAAAAGTATTTAAGATAAATAGGACTAAAACTAAATACATGGAATGTATCTTTAGTAAAAAGAGGAATTCAAACCGAAGAGTAGTAAAAATTGAATAGCAAGAGACACCAAATAGTGATCACTTTAAATAGTTAGGGTTTATTATTCATAGAGTGTGAGATTGGTGATGATGTTGTTCATAGAATTATAACATGATGGATTAAATGGAGGAATGCATAAGGTGTATTGTACGACACACATACCCCTTAAGCCAAAAGGAAAGTTCTGTAGAATGCCCATAAGACCCGCTATGCTTTATGGTATTGAGTGTTGGGCAACTAAGAAACATGTTTAAAATTGAGCATGCCAAAAATGAGAATGTCAAGATGGATATGTGGTAAAACTAAGAAGAATAGAATTAAGGGTAGTTAAATCTGTGCAAAGGTAGAGAGGTATTACATATAGTAGATAAATAAAAGGAGAATCAACTTATATGGTTTTGACATATTTGTAGATGACCTACTACGGTAAGCATAGGGGTAGAGGGATGCTAAAATTAAGTTTAAATGAAATAGTATATAAAGATATGATAACTAATGACTTAACAAAAAACACGACTCTTTATAGAACACAATGGCAACACAAAATTTTTGTAGCCGACTCTAAAATTGTTGAGAAAATGATATTTTAAGTTGAGTTGTAAGTTTTTTTCCTCAGAAAATTTTGTGCATGTGCATCTCTATTGAATCCCAAGGGAAGTATAACTTGTCGTAGTTATTATGGTACTTCTCTTGTTTGAAACCAAGGGACAAATACCCAGTTAATCACTATTGATATGTACACAAAGGCATGCAGTACCATTGATTGTTCTAACATCATAGCATTACTAATTGCTGCATTACTTGTGAATTTAGGAAAATTCTATGTACTGAGTTTGGTACTTGCCCAGTAATAATCAGACCAGATTAAGTAATTACTCCAACGGTTCAAACGTACGAGACAATGAGGCTTAAAGTTTTAGGATTCTATCTTAAAAGTGCCATGAACAATTCAAAAAAACTTGGAATCAATTCCAACATTTTAGGATTAATCCGAAATAACCCAATTGAATCAAAACTTAATCTTTTTAAAGTTGTAATGTAGACCTGATTTGCCCATAACCTTCGGTATGTTATAAATTTTTTTGGTACATACCGTAAAAATCCCTTAAATTCATGCATTCAACATTATACATTGGGGGAGGAATTTAACATATAGATTCAACAAATCAAATAAGTAGCCTCTGCTAAGTGCTAACACTTGCAGATCAACAAAGAGTCAGACTGCAGAATTATGCAAACTAATAAATAATAAATAAAACAGAAATACACTTACAGTGACACAAAACAACAAGAATAGTAAAAATCTAGAAATCCAAAAATAATCAGAATCATGTGTAACTACAGTTTTCTTTAGACATTTTTGCTATTTCTCGATACTTAAGGTTGATAACCAACTGTCTCCTGAAATAGAACGAATTTTGTTCTTGAAAATGTAGTACTTCAATTTTCAATACTTTAATGAACACAACTTTGTGTTTATGCTTGAAACGCACAAAAATGATAGTGCAATAGTATGTAGAGAGAGAAGAAAGACTAAGTGCAGGATTCAGGATGTTTGGGATGATTGAAAATGACAGTAAAACAGTCTATTTATAGACTACTTGTGTATGTTCAAATCGCCTTAAGAGATATGAAATGCCTCTATTCATTGTACTTGTTAGAATTGAAGAGACATTCTTTTAATTTGAACAGTAACAAAAGGGAAGACACCTCTTAAATGAATAAACATAATTCAATTTCGGCGCCAAATTCAAATTGAACGAACAAAAAATTTAAAAATCCGGTTAGATATTTAAATTTCGGTTGAAAGATTAATTGCGATCCGCTTTCGGATTTGTTTGATTTGACCCACAATCCGCACTGTTAAATAAATTTTTTGCAAAAAGATAATATATTTTTGACACAAAGTTCAATTCCATGTCCAGCATGGTCAAGTCGTGGCGAGCGTGGTAATCGAGATTGTGTAGATGCTCACTCTGCTAACAAAAGTGTGGTACCCGTTGGGGCCCAACCTACGAAGCCAATTAAGAGTATATTAGCTCACCAAAATTTTTGTCTTCTTCCAATGTAGGACAAACTTTATAGATTACACTTCATTAAACTTAGTTCATTCCATCCATTCAAGAGAGGCCGCTTTGAGACATAATTTCTCATTCAATATTTAATAGTTTTGAACAAATAAATATGTCATGTTAATCTCCTCGTGGAGGAGAATGCATTTAAATTTAATGCCATCAATTTTGAGATATGGGTCCCATTTTTATTTAAACCCAAAGTTACTCAAAATAATTGTTCTAAAACCATATATTTCCAACAAGAATTACTGCTACTACGAGTCTAGAATTCTTGAGAACGGAAAGAGGCCGAAGGAGCACAGGCTTAATTTCACTGGGGAAGCTTGTTCAGCTTGCAGTAAACATAATCTTTATACTTCTTGGTCTTATATTTTGGTGGATTTTCCTCAGTAATAAGCTTTGGAATTGGACCAATTTCAAGCTCTGGTGGCGGCTCCAAGAAGACCGGCCAGGACATTCTCGTCTTATCCTTGTTCACTGTTGTTCTGTGCAGCACACTCTTGTACATTCCATTGCTTAAAATCTGTCAAAGCAAAGAAACTGCTGAATTAGAGTAACAAATGGCAGCACAATGCATGAGATTTTGGTCACTACGGGGATCAAGAGAGTCGTAATAATCTTATCTCGCATGTAGGAAGACTGTCATTGTGTGTCCAAGTATATTAAAAGTAAAAATAAGGTCTGAACTCTTAAAGATCTTCTTGATTTGGTTTAGTTTACCTGTAACACTCTTCTAGTTAGATGATGACTGAAATAATAAATTAATTATGTCTCGTATCTCACATTGTCCATCAACTATCACTTTTCTCACCTTACACCTCCAAATACACTGTTAGGTTTTGAAGCAGTGTGAAACCAATTCAATTTCTTTGTCGAATGGAAAGTCAAAAAGCTGAATATTTGAGGGGGTCAAAGGGTAAGTCTTCCTAAGAGTAAATTAAATGACACCAGCCACCCCCCAACCCCCAACCCCCAAAAAAAAACAGTTAATCCTAAAAACAGAGAAAGTAAAAAAGAAATACCTCAACTTGATCACCAATATGGATAATGAGGGCATTAGGAATGTAGTTGACATCATACCAGTGATCATCCTTGAAAACCTGGAGTCCTGGGACCTCATTGGGGACAAGAATGGTGAAGCTGGACATGTCTGTGTGAGCCACCAGCCCCAGAGCCAGATCTGGACGAGGACATGGTGGGTAGTAATTTATTTTCATCAGGTAAATCAAATCATCACCACCCACAGCTTCCTTAAACTCATCCCTTTCCAGCCCAAGCCCTAATGAGAGGCTCTCAAACAACTTGTCTGCCACCACACGCAGCCTCTTGGCATACTCCTCATTAGCTTCCCTGCCAAATTCACAAATAATTTTTAGCACCTCTTACTAGTGTGTGTGTGTGTGTGTTTGAGTGACAAATCTCGACAACAAATTATCAAGTGGGGATTAAAGCCCAACAAGTTTGAGTGATAAATAGATGACTCGGTCATTAGAACTTCTTAAGGACTAGATTAATACGAACTTATATCTAAGCACGACATATAAACGACAAGAATGCTACATATAGGTGGAGAATATATTGACCAAAATTTTCAACACAGCCCTTCATGTAACATCATGTGACGGTGATGGCGTGGTATCGCCATTACATTGAATATTATCTCCTTCTCCGCACCCCCACCCGGAGTTAGAAAAAGAAAAGAAGAACAAGTATAACAGCAAAAAAGAGTGCTCAAGAGCACTGAACATGGAGTTTGTTCATTCAGAGCCACTTTTCTTGCAAGTCAGAGTGTTTCTGTGCTGGATTTGACTTGGATACCCATTTTTTTTCGGTATTATACATCTGTTTATCACATTTGTGGTCAGTTTTATTACATTTATAAGTCATTTTACCACTATTGTGTCAGTTTTATTACATTTATAAGTTATTTTACCACTGTTGTGGTACCGTAAACATAGTTATCAAAAATGTAATAAAAACACCCACAAATGTAATAAAAATATCTACAAATATGATAAATTTTTTTGTATCAAAGACAAGTAATAAAAGTGGTAAAAATATCCACAAAAATGAAAAATCACCCATAAAAATTGTAAATTTTTTTGTTGTAAAGTGAGTACAAAAATTGTAAAAACACTCGTCAAAATGGTAAAAATTGAAGAAATTGAAGGTACGGTACCAAATTAATTTCTTCCGTAGCAGTCAAGTCCTTCTGTGCTAATTCCAAACAGTTGAAATGAAGCTAGAAATGAAAGCAGCAGGTTTGACGAGGTCTAGGATTCAAGTTTTAATATTTTTGTATATATGTTAGTATATATCAATAAAAACTAGTATATACATTAATATATATAAGAGTGAGTTGTACCGAAAAGTATGACATAAGGTACCAAAAAACATAACTTGGTAATTTAGTAAAATGTTATACCAAAAAATGGGATTTTTAAGATCAATTTTAACATTTTAGATCACTCCTAATCTTTTTTATAATAACATTAAACGATTGAATATAACTTAATTAACCGAAGAAAATAGTTAATTAACCTAGAAAAGTAATGAATTTGGTAGTCACTTCTTTCAATATCATTGTCTTATATATCCACAGATATTTATATATTAATTCATATATACTAGTATGTATAACTTCTTATTTTGTAGCACTTTCGACACCATACAAAAAAAAAAAAAAAAAAAAGGTGTCTTCCCATCTACTTTATACACATTATTATACATCCACAATGCATACACTAGTCCATATATATAAAAATTAGTGTTTATTCAGGAAAAACAAATGTCAAAACCTGTAAGAAGGTGGATTTTTAGGCCAGAAGTGGTAATTAATAGCAGCAGGAGGCCATATCTTGTGGAACAAATGATCAGCCCAAGCTTTCTTCCCTCCCACTTCTTTCTGTAGCTTCGTTCCATAGCCCTCCACACTCTCAGACCCTTGAGGCTTAGCATATACCTCTTTCTCTTCCTGTGGGAGCTCAAAGAACTCCTTCCCAACTTCTTGTAATTTTTCAATCGCTTTACTTGGTATGCCATGGTTCACCACTTGGAACAACCCCCACTCCCGGCTGGCCTCAGCGATCGACCGGACGATTTTTCCCAGATCTGGGTGGCTGAGATCAATCACCGGAACTTCAAGGACCACCCCATGTAAGGTGGTCGTTGCTGGTTGTTCATTCTCTAACCTAATGAACTCTGAGGGGATGGTGTCCATGCACTTGGACTGAGAAGCTATGGCTTGTACTCTCTCCACCTCCATTCTTTTTTCCTTTTTTCTAGTCTTATCACAATGGTTATAGACTAAAGTTTCTCTCTCTCACGCACACAATAACTGCATGCATTACGGTGAGCTATCTTTAAATGTGAAGAAGGTTGGAGGAGAAAGAAAGAGTGTTTGCTGGCTTGCAGAAGAGATTAACGTGGGAGGTTGTGGGTCACTTGTTATATCGACGTAACAAACCCTTCTTATAACCACGCATCAAATCTACCTCCGCATTAATGGCCTCCTATACTAGGTGGCCAAACTTCAAGCATACACGCGCAGATCAAAATTTAGTTTGGAAAATATTATTTATTTAGATTATTTTAGAGAAATAATTAATTGAAATTGTTGAATTACTTAAAAGTGAGTTCTACCCAATCTTTAAAGAAAAATTCACAACTAATAATGATTTGTATCAAATTAAGTTACTGATTAAGCAGTAAATTAAATTCTTATAGCCTTTCTCGTTTAGTTTTGTTCGTTTACACCAAAGGGTTCTTGTTAGGTAGGCAAACTTACACCGACAAGTATTAAAATTTCATTTTTCATCTTAACCTCTCAATTTTGGTAAAAAAAAAAAATCAATTCAAATCAGTGAATAAAGCTCAGAAATTTTATATTTAATAATATTTTAACAAATATTTCAGAATTAAAATTTTTTAATGTATTTTTAGGTAATGTTTAATAAAATTAAAAATTAAGTACTGACAAATGAATGATAAACTGAAGTGTTAAATGCTGTTTTTTTTTTTTATGACACAAATTGTTTAGACTTGAAATTGAATCATATTTTGCCAAATTCTTTTCAAGTTTCATTGTCACTAATGCTACCATCAATACTATTTCACAATTACCATAACTGCCTTATACGCATCATTATCACCACTAGCGATAACTTATGCCTAAAGGCATTGTACAATTTAATTTTATAAAAGAGTAATGTTATTTGTACATAAAAATTTGACTTAATTTATAGACATGCTTTAAGTATAATATAAAACGTTAGGGAGATTAATTATCCCCATAAAATATTACTAAAATAATTAAGGATGATAAAGTTTAAATGGTATAGGAGGCTGGATGAGCCCGTCTATCATGAACAATGTTACGTGGACTTAAAAATTAAACTTAAAAATTAGACTTGATAATTATAATCATTGATTTCACTATAGATCCTAACATTTATTGGGACCCACTACCTATTAAATGGTTGTGATTATCAAATCTAATTTTTAAGTTCATGTAGCATTACTCGTCTACCATACACATGTCACTTTTTTGCAGCGGAATATGTAATGGTTACGATTGAATGAAGAGGGAGCTATGGTTGCATGTGATTTTGGTTATAACCGTCTATGATTCATTTAATGTGTACATGAATTGTGTGTGTGCTAGATTTTACACAATATAAATACGAGAACAGATCTCTCATTTGGTGAACTCGAGTGAGTCAGTCGAATGGTCAACCCTGCTGCCTGGGACGGCCTACGAGGTTCGGTGGTAGCCTAGAACAGTAACGAGAGACCCTTGTGGGTCAATGGAACGATCTAGGAAGGCTGAGGAAGGTGCCTGGAACAAAGAAGGAAAAGTTAGAAGGGCGCCGGAGTGTTTTCCGGCTTATCCCCTCCGACGATCAAGTCAGTTTTTGAAAGGGAGAGGAAGAAGAAAGCACTGAGTATATTTCGTAGTAAAGAGTTTTTGTTGCATACTGTCTTGCCTTTTACGAGGAGTATTTATACCTCAAAAGCTCATGATTGCTGTCAGTGTTGTCAGTAGGTGATCATTAGGTACAGACAGTGTGCGCACTGATTCTGATGATCACCTACTGACAACAATCATGAGTTTTTGAGGTATAAATACTCCTCGTAAAAAGCAAGACGGTATGCAACAAAAACTCTTTACTACGAAAATATACTCATGCTTTCTTCTTCCTCTCCCTTTCAAAAACTGACTTGATCGTCGGAGGGGATAAGCCGGAAAACACTCCGGTGCCCTTCTAACTTTTCCTTCTTTGTTCCAGGCACCTTCCTCAGCCTTCCTGGATCGTTCCATTGACCCACGAGGGTCTCTCGTTACCGTTCCAGGCTACCACCGGACCTCGCAGGCCGTCCTAGGCAGCAGGGTTGACCATTCGACTGACTCAGTCGAGTTCACCAAGGGAGAGATCTGTTCTCGTATTTATATTGTGTAAAACCTAGCACGCACAATCTGGCGCCGTCTGTGGGAAACGACTAGTTTTCCTAGTTTTTTCTCTATAAAGAACAATGACCATGGTGAACACTCGACAAAAAGGGAAAGGTCCCCACCAAAGAAGTCTCGAATTACAAGCTCCCTGTCACCACGGAGGAAGGGATCACACTGACGGGAATAAAAATGCCTCCACTCAGTCAAGAGGGGTTACCCCTCAAACCAGTATGGGAATTAGGTCAGAAGGATCAGCCCCCCTGGCTCGTCAGCTGGCGGAGGTGATCGAAGAAAAGTTTGGCGATAGATTACGACAGCTGAAAAAGGACAATGTAAACGTCCTAAGCCGGCTCAACGAATTTGCCACCTCCGGCGAAGGGTCGAGGGACTCATTCCTCTCTCGTGGGCTCCCTGCCCGGGAAGCGAAAATGAAGGATCTAAGGAATCATCTAAACAACAAGGCAGAAAGTTCCCGGGCTCCAAAGCGACTGAGAGCCAACGAGCACCTTCCTAACGACCATTCAAGGAAGGCAAGACCATTAGCCCTGGACAACCTCCGACGAGGATTGTCTAGACGGAGGGAGGGGGATGAGTCCGAGGAGGATTCTACCCTATCCGCACGGCGCCCAAGAAATGAAGGGCCCATTGATGAACTCAAGGACTTCAGAAGACATCCCGTCAGGAAGGAAATTGATCTCAGAGCCCGGCTGGAATCCAGGAGAAAGAGTAAGGCTGTCCAGGATGAGGCCGAAGAAGAGGTCATACAAACACCCTTCACTAGGGAGATCGGAGAGATGGAGGTTTCAAGAAAGTTCGTCGTGCCGAGGTTCAAAACTTATGACGGGCGGTCCGATCCCGAAGCCCATCTCAGGCAATACAAGCAGATGATGTCCCTTTATCATTCGGACCAACGGTTTCTCTGCTGAGTGTTTCCAATGAGCTTGGGGGACTCTGCGATGAAGTGGTTCGAGGCGCTTCCCCCAAACAGTATTGGGTCGTGGAAGGAATTGACGAGACAGTTCCTGGCTCGATTCATTACGGGGAGTAAACGCCCCAAGACGTTGGATCATTGCTGACCCTCAGACGTAGGGAATCTGAGACCCTTCGCCAGTATGCCATCCGATACTGGGAAGAGATTAATGAGGTAGAAGGCTGCTCGGAAGTCATGGTAGCGGCGTCTTTTCGGCTTGACCTGGCGAGGGACACGGACCTGTACCGATCCCTGACCAAGAAGACTCCCTCGGATATGGGGGAGCTGATGGCCCGGATAAACAAATACTCAAGGATCGAAGACGAGATAGGAAGCAGCAAAGGCTGAACCCTGTAATCTAAGAGAAAAGAGAGGGAACGGGAAGATACTTCCCGAAAGGGGTTGCTACCCCCTCCAGGGGGTTCGTCCAAAGGAGTTCACACTATGTTCAAAGAACCCATCTTCAAGTTGCTCCATAAGATCAAGCACGAGCCGTTCTTCAAATGGTCGCCCAGGATGCAGAGCGATCCCTCCACCCGTGAATAAAGGGTTAGGTGTTCCTATCACCGGATTTTGAACATCGCACCGAAAGCTGCAGGGTGTACAAATCGTTCTTGGAGAAATTGGTCCGAGATGGATACTTGAAAGAATGCATAGAGCCCAGGCCAGAAGAGAGACACACCATTGCCCCGACAGGAACCGGACAACGTCATAGATGTCATCCATGTATGTCCCGTGGATCGCCCCACGTCCAAGGAACTCGAGTCCGACCTCAAGAGGATAGCTTTTACAAGGAAGGTGGCTGAGGATGATGGAGGGCCACCCAGTAAAAGGGCCAGGACTGGTGAGCCAAGCATCACGTTCTCGGATGCGGACTTGACAGACGTAGTGACTCCTCATAACAACGCCCTTGTCTTGACCTGAAGATAGTAAAATTCGACGTCAAAAAGGTGTTGATAGACTCTGGAAGTTTCTCGGAAGTGATGTACTCCGAGACTTTAAAACGGATGAGTCTTGGCCTCAAGAACCTCACCAAGGTCAGAAACACCTCTCATCGGATTCAACGGCTCGTTCGCCCTGCTCGTAGGCAAAATTACATTGCCAGTTGTCACGGGTCCCTTCATCATC